CATCCATGCATCCATGCATCCATGCATCCATCCATTCATGCTACCAGTTTTATACGATCATCTATTATTGTGTTACCTGCAAGTCTGTGTTTCGTCTCTATCACATGGTGGTATATATACTCTGCATAGAAAATCCTCCAACAAAKGAGAGCACTGCTTACGAATGGCTTCGGACCAGCCGCCAAGAGCTCGAATAATCTGGTCTTGATTGGTGTGCCCAAATCTATTCGGTAGTCTTGTGTACGTGTAACCCAACCGACTGCAAACGTTGCGTATTGGGCTGGTAATTCTCTGGCACGAAGGATCGACTGTCGGACCTAAAACGCATAATGGTGATATATAATCAGTGAGGCTACAAACAAAATAGACCTTGTCACCTTAGACGCATCGTTTTCCCATTTCAGTCCAAAAAATATTCCCTTGAGTATTATTACTTCCCTTTAATGTGTTAGCCAAGCAGTTTTTATCTTGTGCGTAATGTCTTCTCATTCAAGATCACATTTATGTCATTCTTTTGGAAATAAGATACTTTGTTTGAGTTTCTTACCTTGTGTCTTTAAGGTCGTAACCATGGTCGTAGTCATTGTGGTGGGTAGAGCGGTTGTGGTAACTAATCACGTAAATGATAGAAAACACTTAAGCCCGATAACTTATCGTGACGGACTCAGGAGCAAAAGTATGTGGTATTTACAGTGCTACATGTGTTATATACGTATGTGTTCATTAATTTCTCTTTACCTGTAGTTTGAGTGAGGTTGTTTGAATCTGGAAAAATTAAAACACATAAGTTGTTGGATTGTAAGCATTCATAAAAGAGAGACAAATGACAATAGCATGGGGCAATGTTTGGTGATATTAACAATGGAAGCTTACGCTTCTTCTTACGAAGAAAAACGGATGGATGGGYGAATGAAAGGTGGAGACGAATGGATAGATGGATGAAAGGCGAGAAGGAAACTATGGATGAATGAATGGATGGCATGGTAGGTCATGGCATACATAGAATGGATCTATGCACTGCTGACACTTATAATCGAGAGTTAGGAGCATCCCTGCCAGTGAACTGCAATGAAATCGGACTATCACAAAGACCAGCCAATACTAACTGCAGAATTTCTCGTCACTAGCGTCGGCACAGTCTTCATCACCATCACACCACCAGGATCTATGGATACATTTACCGTCTGTGCATGGAAACTCATTATCTAAACAATTGACTGCTGCATCTGTTGACCATAACCCATGGAAAATCTTAATAACTTTCCAAGCAACAAAAACACCTTAATACTTACTTAGATGGAATAATTGTTTACAGCCCAAATAAGAGGTAGCGATAATGATATACAGTAGAGTATCGTTACTTCAGAACTCATGGGGAAAGGTTCAAAATAACGGGGGCTCGAGATTTCCGGGTACAATTGTAATGAAGCTACAGTCCACTGAAGGTGGAGCTACAGTCCATTGGAAGTGGGCTAAAGTCCATGGAGGTGGAGCTACAGCCCATTAGAGGTGGAGCTACAGCCCACTAGAGGTGGGCTATAGTCCACGTGAGGTGGGCTATAGTCCACGTGAGGTGGGCTACAGTCCACTGGAGGTGGAGCTACAATCCACTGGAGGTGGAGCTACAGTCCACTGGAGGTRGGCTACAGTCCACTGGAGRTGGAGCTACAGTCCACTGGAGATGGGCTACAGTCCACATGACGTGGGCTCAAGTTAAAAACTATTCATGGTTCGAGATTGCGATACCCCACTGCAAAATAAATCATTGAGTTTGTCCATGGGATATTATTGTTACTTCTCGTCAGATTTGATACGTATTATCAGCACGGGCTACTGAGGCGTGTATACGGTCACGCAACGGTATGTCAATCCACATGTGTTAGAGCGCAGCTATAATGATTCTTGATTTCGGACAAGCATAGTAAGATGTATATTCTGAAGCTAATAGAACCATTGATCAACACACAAAATGCACTTATCACTCTTAACACGATTACCTGTTGGTTGGACGGTGGAATCGTTAGAATCTGAAGAGAATGGAGGAATAATAATCATTAAGAAACGAAAAGAAATGGGTCGTTGCAAAAATTGATAGACGAGCGGACGAAACTCGATAGCATTTTTTCCTTTTCGTCCGAAAATCAAATCTAATAGGGCTTTTGAGTTGTGACGTATTTCCGGGTCCAATATTCCCAGGATTTATTCTCTACTTTTAATAATTACATGCATAAACAGAAAATCCTGCATTAAAAAAACAAAAAACAAAAAACAAAAAAAAACAAAAACACACACACACACACACAGCAAAAATGTCTGTAGAAGTAAGTATTAATTTGGAACCGGAAGTCGATTTTTGTTCGAATTACGTCACACTTAACAGCTCTATAAAGTTTCAATAATAATGTAGTGTATTCATTTGTACAGTGAATGCGCATTCCTTTCCGGGTCYTACGAGATTTACAAGTATTTTTTCGACAAATCGTCAAAGTCGACGCCCGTTTCATTTACAAAGCTTTTAGTTTACTTCGCCTTGTTTGCCGGTTTGTTTGTATGTCTRTTGGTTTGTCTCTTCAAAAATATTTATCGCAACCCAATTTCCCAATACTAACTGCAAGATCTTTCGTCACTTGAGTCGGTACAGTCGTTATCACCATCACACCACCAAGAAATAGGTATACATTTACCATTTGCACACTGGAACTCATTATCTAAACATCTGATCTCATCATCTGCACCTGTGGAAGACAATTGAAAAATGACATTGTAATGATATTTCGTTTCAATTAAGCTTCGTTTTGAAGATAACTTAAGAAACAAAGAAATAAATGCCTGGTTCGAGTTCGGTTCCAGGAGTCGGCATAACATGTGAGTAGAGTTTGTTAGCTATTTCCATTGATTCGAGAGTTTTCTCCGGTTTTCCTCTCTCCGTAAAACCTGACACGCCAAATTCGAATTTTATCTGTGGGCCGGTTAGCCTTGCCCTGAATTCCAACAGCCCAGAGGCTGTGTCAATTCAGGGTATCAATCAATTTTGAAGAATAACCGCATACCTTAACATGCTCTTTTTTCASTTAAAAAGAAAAGACAATGACACTTACCAACACTAGTGCTCAAGCAGACCACCATGACAACAAGGAACAACCGAAGAAATGCTTTCTTCATGTCTTCTTCCTGGTAAAGCTAAAGTAGGCGTAGCAATATAACCAATCTTTCAGTTTTAAGAATAGGCTGGGGGAAACCAACTACAGTCAAACCTCTGTTAAGCGGTCACCCCTGGGGAAACATCAGGTGACCGCTTAATAGGGGTGACCGCTTAATAGATGGCCGCTTAACAGAGGTTCGACTGTAAAATGATTTGTTTGATATCGATTGGCGATCAACTTCATGTCATTTTCTGAAACCCGATTTACACCATTCTTGTACCCAGAGCCTCTTGCATGGCGAAAATCGGATTCTCTGGGAAATATACAGCCCAATCCATGAAAAAAAAAATCGCTTGCTATTTATAATCATGATAGAATAGTTTGGGTTGGGCTGGATTTTAAAACATAAATATAACTGCCTGCCATTTATTGTTTGAAGATCGTTGACCGACTGCAGATCATTCATGTTWGCGTTGTTTTTTTTTTTAGGTTTGAAAACTAGCGGTTATCAAGCAGATATCAAGAGGGACTCCCGGCAAATATACGAGACACATGTTAAATTGTACCTTCAAGATTAATACTAAAAATATCAAGCTTTGTGTACGGAGGTCTGCGCACACAGGAAATGAAGAGAGAACTGTAAGTAGGAGAAAACAGAAAGTAAGTGCTTTTCTCCCCCCCCTCCCCCCCCGGGTTATATCTTCAAAAGCTTTTATATTTCTAGCATAAAGAACAATACTGAGTTTGTTCCTGAAAATTTAATGAGCAAATAATTGCTTCAAGTTGTCGCAAATCTCTACAGCTTTTTTACTTTTAATTTTGATTTTACATACCCTACCCYAGACTAAAACTAAGAATTGTATACCCTATCCCAGACGAAAAGACGGAAAATACGGTTTTACAATCGATTGCAATCAATATTTACTAATATTTTTATTGTTTTTGTGTCGGCAGAAAGCGTAGCCTATTAGCCAGACAAAAACGA